AATCATGTTCTTTGCCCAGTGGGATGTTGGTCCATATAGCTGGTGGCCCATAGCTCGTGGTCCATAGAAATCAAAAGTATACTTATATAGAGGGGGATTCTTTTAGAATCTCCGAACTGCAGAGATAGTTATTAAAATATCTAAATATGAAGATTTCGCCCAAGATGCCTTATGAAAATGTTGCAGATACAGGGTGTTCAAGGAGAATAACATTTTATTTTAAATTTCTCCATTACTTTTTGGCCGAACATTTACTTATTTTGTTGTTGGCGTTGTTATAATGATTGTCATTATTGATTACTGATGTATAATTTTCCCACTGTCACTCCGCTACCTTTATAATTCAAAATAATGACAAAATGTACCTAACTAAATAACGCGAATAAATAAATTGAACGAGCTTTCAGATTTTTGACTTAATAATAAAAGGGTACACCGGGGTAAGTGGAACCGCGAATTTCAATAGCTCTCCCAGCCAACCATCGTGTGACATCAACATCTGTGTGATGTAACAACCTTGCATGAATGCAATATCTCGTTAACACATCTTATCGACGTAGATTCGATATCAACGTCGCAAGGTGACATCGCGACCAGGAAACTATGTAATGTGGCAGAGACTTCTTCAAACTACATCTCTTCGACGTTAACTAAATAATTCACATTGATATCCTCATGAGATATCTTTGTGACCTGTGAGTGTGACGCAGACATGCGCAAAACGAACGCACACGCCAGACGCCATGTTGAGCTGTGCATGGCCATGTCAGTCAGTGACTGAGTCCGACTCCGTACAGACTATTTCCTTCCAAATTCTCTGTTGAAATATCTGAGATGATTTATAGCACACATATTATTATAGCAGTTTCAAATTGGAGGTAGGTATACAATCATTTAAGAACGACGGTCGTGAGTTCAATCACAATAGGTAATATTGTGATTACCTCTGAGATAGGACTATTGCAATCTAAAACAAGGTGGATGAAAGATCCCAAGATAATGTAAGTGTATTTGATATGTATCATTTAGATAGATAGATAGATAGATAGATTTTTATTTCCCAAATGAATATGAATAATGTGTATTTGTATTGTATTGCTATATATATGTGTCATGTTTTACTTCAAGATTACTAATTAGGGTGATTGTCATGATAAGTTTTGTATCATCTGTTTTTACTTTCGGAAAATAAACATTTTCTTCGTAAAGTTGAATGATTATTATTATTATATATCCCACGAATATCACAGCAGGTACGGCGACCACATCATCGATGTCGCAGTGTGATGTATTTGTAATATGAAATGTACACTTGTATGTGACCTGGTGGTGATTTTGCATGTGATGTCGCATTTCATGTCTAAACGACGTCACAGTGATGTTGCCTGAGTCGGACATTTTCACATCGCCACGTTGTATCGGTAGCATGTTTGTGACTTCAAATGCGATATCGCATGTCACAAAGTGATGTAGCGTATACATCACTTATACATCTCATGGTTGGCTGGGTCTGCTATAAACCAAATAATGATAATAATAATGGGTCATTCTCGTTCCAATCACATCACCTTACTGATGCATAATAATTGAAAGGATCTGAAAATGTACAACGAGACAAGTGCTCAAATCTTTGATCTAATTTTTTTTCAATTATAGCGGTACTTATATACTAGGTAACACTTGCCCAATGGATATGAGACTGCCCTTGGAGTATTCCAGTGGCGCCTTCTTCCGAACCTAGTTACGCACCATGTCTGGAATAAGAAATTTATTGACTTTGCATTTGAAGATCACGAATATTTGATAGGCGTTATTTTCAAGGGGCAAAGTGTATAGCCTATGTCTTTTCCTTCATGTGAAAAAATATATGTCCTTCATACCTTCAGAATACGAAGAAGTATTGTTTATGAGCTACTCACTTCAAAATCTTGAATATTTTCACAACATTTTTGAAGCTCACGTACACTACGAAGGAACACGTGCCATCTCGGTATGCGACATTCGACATAAGTAATTCTAATTCATAATTCTTGGCACCGTATATCACTGAGCATTTAGGGGATATGGGTAGGTTCATTATGCGATAGACAGAGCGACAGAGCCACCTAAGAGGCTGTTTGACACCACTAGAGTCTAGCCATAGCACCAGTGCGAGAATATTGCGCCTGGTGCGCAGGTCGCTGGGCGCGAGAAACAGAAAATTTCGTTGCTTGCTCGCTCGCTCGCCGAGCGCGAGAAGCGAGGCGAGAAGGGTTGCGGCCGTGCGGCGCGGGACAAATATTGGAGCGAAACAATAAAGATCATCATTGGTAAAAGAATACCCAATACCCTTAATTGGCGGCGAATCATGTATCACGGGAAGGAGATTTGTTGGTTGCCATTCGAACTGTTTCCAGAATATGTACTCATTTATCGTTTGACCTGCAAGTCTAGCGTTTCACACTTTTCAAAATCTCAGAACTCTTTGTTTGAAGTTACATCCAACAAAGATAGCCCCGTCGAAGAAAAGTGAAAAAGTGTTTTCCTGTGATAAATGTGGACAACAGTTTATAAATCAGAGGGAGTTAAAAATTCATACAAAGAAATGTAACAATTCATCTACAAATACTATGAAAGAAACAGGTAATTCCACTTGTCCAATATGTGCAGTGAAAAATTATTGAGTAAACAATTCGAGAGACATTTGGAAATTTCACATGACTTAACGTTGGTTAAAGAAAATATTGAATTTCCATCTTATGAAAAATATATCGAATGGAAAAATGATATTGAACAGAAAGAAGGAACTTACTTCATCAAGATTAGAGGAACGAGAAAAACATCCAAATTAGAGAGACAATATTTTCACTGTCATCGTTCGGGAAATTTTCACTCGACGAGCACTGTGGAAAGAGGAAAGTTAAAATACAGGGCAGCAAAAAAATTAATTCTAATTGTCCTGCTTCGATCCATCAAAGTGACCAAGGATATTATTACTGGTACATGCAAAATTGTTTACACAAAAACGCATATTGGACATCAAAGTATTCCATGAATGTTCACAATATTCTGAAAATATTATTTAATGAACATTCTGGAATATTATATCCCAGGAGCTTCTAGGAATGTACTTTCATGTAATACTATCAGAATATTCGCATGGAACATTCCATAAATATTCGCAACATACTGAGAACTTTCTATGCATATTCTTCAGAATATTATTCTAGAAGATGACATTTTCGCAGCTTGTAAGAATATTCTGAGAATATTCGTGCTATCTGGGGATATATATATGTAATAATTATGAACAGTACAGTGTTAATTCAATTTGAATAAATTGATTTGAGGTGTGTCACGATTCGATCACCCTGTAACATGGTATCAACTATAGGAAAGCAGTTGTCTAATGTATCATTTCACAACAATGACTTATTTGTTTTTGTTTCGCTGCAATTTCTCGCGCCCAGCGAGCAGCGAGCGACGCGCAATATCATTTCACAATGACTTATTTATTTTTGTTTCGCTGCAATTTCTCGCGCCCAGCGACCTGCGCACCAGGCGCAATATTCTCGCACTGGTGCTATGGCTAGACTCTAGTTTTGACACCTATCAAATTTGATGACGAATATGTTGACAAAAATGATGACAAAAATATTTTTCGTGTGTCATAACAGGGAAGAAGGTTTTGATTTTGCGCAGATTTGCAAACATTCCTCATAAAAATATAGGACTAGCTCCAAATATTTTGATATTATGAATATTTATACTGTATGGCACATAGAAAATATTTTTGTTATCATTTTTGTCATCAAATATAACAGGTGTCATACAGCCGTTTACAGACAGAAATGTTATGATAATCAGCCTGGACTACACTTGCCCCCAAAGTGCCCAAAGTAACACTTACCCCGGAGTACCTACCTTATTTTAATCTAGTTGACACTTAAGTATACCTCTACTAGTTCTATCTGTCTAAAGTAGGCTAGTTATAACGACAGTGGCTTTATATTCTAGTATCTGTCAATTTCAATTAGGCTAGTTGACACTCACGATTTGTCAATTATAAAAAAAATATCATAGTATTTCTCATTGTGATCTACTGGTTCATAATTATTGATAATTGTTCATGATCTAAGGTCGGATCTGGTGGAACTTTTGACATTTGACACTTGTCGTGAATGTGATCCTGTGAAATTCTATGAAAATAATGATTCGATTTATCTCTTCGAAAATGAGAGGGAAAAGCTGGTAGAAAATAAAGAGTTTTCTATGATATGATGATGATGTCAAGAGCTTTGCTTCTAAATGTGTGATCCAAGTAAGTTAGGATTTGATAAACTTGTTACACATGTTAAGTTTAAAGTGCTTTATCAACGACCCAACCACCTTGCTTTTCTATATTGTCAATCATTTTCAAATGTATTTCTGTTCGGTTCAAGTATGACAAAGATTATACACGATGTTTAATTTAAAGTAGGTATATAAGTGGAGTTGTCCAGCATATGTGTCAAACAGAAATATGCCTATTCAACAATCAAATGCATTCCTTTATACAATAACTAGCTATATCCCTAGTACTATGCCTACTATTTCCTTTTCAGAAGTTATAGAAGGTTGTGAACTATAGATGAGAGGTGGATAAATGTGATACCTACCAATAGGTGAAAACATCTACTTGGGAAAATAATTGATCATCAGGTAAGTATACAAAATATAATTCAGAAAATATGAAATATCAGATTAATAGATTGAAGTGGAATTTATAAACAAGAACCTCATTGAACATACCTCAAAACTACTGCATAGGTAGGTACTCAGTAGCTCACAGTACCTATAACAGCTTCACTTTTCCTCAGGAATTTAAGTAAACAAGTATACAGTTGTGAACTACCTTCTACTTATTACTTCAAATGGAACCACTATCTTGTGAATGATATATATCTCATGAACAAAATTGATATAGGTACTTATATATAATCAAGTACTGATAATACAGAAAGTAAATGAACATAATATGTGTATATGGAATTTTTGGTATAATGAAATAATCACAAAGTCTTACAGAAATTCAATTCTAATATTTTTGGGAATGAATCAATATTCTTCAGATCTATTTCATTGATTCTGATTGGTTCTGCATCAGTCTGATAAATGGTGAGTAGGAAGGCCAAGTCCTTTTTAATACTTCAATACTGATATCTAGCAAGGTCTGAATAACTACTTAATGAAATATGGCAAGTGTCCTGTGCTTTTCTGTTCATATTCTTTTTCCAATGGTTTGTACATGGAAACCTATACTCATAAGCTGCTGGTGATTCAGAATTTTTCTTCCATCAAAAATGTATGCTGGTTTCATCATTTTCTGATATATTTGATCATAATCCAGGTTCTGAAATGTATTGAAACAGTTCAAGAATTACATTATCTTATGTCTCCCTGAGGTTTTCAACTGGGTATATGGGGTAAGATATTAGGCTTGTTCCCCTTTGCAAAATAAACAGTCCAAAAACGCCAACAGTTCTGTGACACTGCACATGCTCCTTATAGTTTTGGACTGTTTATATTTCCTAGGAGAACAAACCTAGTGGATGGTTAAATTGGACTCACTGTGAATTCATCCCACTCTGTGCAAACAACTATGGCATGGCAACCTTCACAGGCACTGTAGGCATCTTGATAAACAGTCACATTCTTTCTTACCAACTCTGGAGAGTGTGTTATTGAGGGATGAGTGAGATCTTCAAAAATCTGATCTTCTTCCACCTGAAACATGATTTCTACTCTTTATTTTTGAGAGTTTGTGAAAACATAAGAAATTGAACTTTCTGTACTAATACCCAGCACAATATTACACATGACATCATTGGTTAGATAACAAATAGAAATATTTCTGATTTTGAATTTTAAATCGTTTGTGTCAATAAAAATTCTCTGTTAGTTTACTGTATTGAGGTCATGAATGTTTACCTTGGGGTCATATATCCTTATTGAACCTCCTTCCTGAATTAAAGTGTTAGCAATGAAGATAGATGGACTTTCTCTAGTATCTCCTGTGTTTTTCTTGAAGGCAAAACCCAAAATGCAAATATTTTTTCCACTGACGGTATTGAACAATGCTTCTACAATTTTAATTGAAAATCTACTCTTCTGATATTCATTCATATCAATAACTTGCTGCCAATATGCTGCAACTTCTAGTAGGTTCAGACATTCACAAATGTAAACTAGGTTCAATATATCTTTCTGGAAACAGCTTCCTCCAAAACCGACAGATGCCTGCAGAAATTTCGATCCTATTCTTGAATCTAAACCAACTGCTCTTGCCACCTCAGATACATCTGCTCCTGTTGCTTCACACACTGCTGAGAGTGAATTTATACTTGATATACGTTGGGCCAAAAATGCATTGGCAGCCTGAAAAAAACGTGAATATGTAATGTAACCTTCAAAAGGAAAAATTCACCATTTCTGTTAATTAAAACATTCTTATTGTACAATTTTCTATTGATGTATTTTCCACATAATGGAACTACAGTACCTCTCAATGATTGTTGAGTAAGAATAACAACTCACAAGTTTGGATAGCTCAGATGACCAGGTATTTGTTGTGATTATATTTTCTCTGGGAATCCAATGGTCATAAATGCTACATAAAGCTTCAATTGCTTTTCTACCTTCAGAACTTTCTTCTCCACCAATCAAGACTCTGTCAGCATTCAGAAGGTCATCAATAGCAGTTCCTAAACCAACCAGTGAATTCAATGAAATTATGTAATATGATCTGTGAATAATATATTAGGGACAATCATTATTTCTTGTGTATAATTTCTACCTTTTAAATTGTGTGGATGAATGAATGGATAGAATTCATCAGTAGTGTAGATTCCTATTTGACACAAAGGTCAATCTCCTGTTGAGTGTTAGAGGGCATTTTTAAAACTATAATCTAATTTATTTTCAATTTCGCATCTGTAGCAAGCATATTTCTTTATCTTGTTTTATGTGAGGAATTATAATAGATTCTGATAATCACAATGTGTTGTAGGCATATGGACGAATTCCACAAGATGATAATGAGACTGATTTTCATGTCTTGTAAGTGCCAAAAATATACCAGATTCAAAAAAATTAACAACACTGAATAGAAAATTGAAATAGATACCAATAAATTAGACAGGTATGTATATCTCCATCCTGATGGTGATATCATTATAGATATTTATGTGAATGTTGATTTTGTGGGAAGGTATTTAGATTGGTATAAAAAAAATAAGATGGTGTTCCAAAAATAATGTCGAATTGACAAACTCCAAGTCAATCTCTCAGGATATATTTTTACCTTCAACTGAAAATTCTGAGTCGGATAAAACTTGATATGAAACGCCTGGTTTCTGATTTGCATATATCTCTATCCTGATGGTGATATCATTATAGATTTTTATGTGAATTTTGATCTTGAGGGAAGGTATTTAGATTGGTATAAAAAAATAAGATTGTGTATAAAAAATAATGACAAATTGTCAAACTCCAAATCAACCTCACAGGATATATTTTTACCTTCAGCTAAAAATTCTGGGTTGGATAAAACTTGATATGAAACGCCTGGTTTCTGATTTGCTTTCAAAATATTGGCAATACTTTCTGCTGCTTTAACTGGTACAGTACTTTTTTCTACAACTATCTTATCATTTTGTGCTGTGTTTGCTATTAATCTTGCTGCACCCTCGACATATTTCAGATCTGCGGCACGACCCTGGAAAATATTCATGAGTTTATATCATAATTTGGCTACATGGAATGTTCTTGATGTTGTTGATATAGGTACCTACTGGAATACTTCAACTATTCATAATATTATAGTATCAGTATTTTTCCTTATCTCTAAGATAACCCCTAACATTGTATTAGGCAATCCAAACCACGTGACCCAATATGGCGGCTGTTGGCACACAAACCAGGTAGTGCCATAAGGTTAGCATTGTATGTGTGGACATTGGATAGTTTTTTACTGTTTTTTTTCTGTTTCCGAAGCCTTTTGGGCTGTGTAAAAACTTTATTGAGATGGAGAAAGATTATCTGAAGACATTGTTGTTAAGAGACAGAGACGTTGATCAACGGTATGTTCGAAAATACATCCCTATCATTTGTTTACATTTTTAAGCACTGTGTTTCTTTCAGGTATAAAATGAAATTGAGAATTATCAATGACTTGGATCCTTCCACAACGAAAAATTGTGATTTCAATTGTTCACCTGATGCTGTTCCACCCATTACAAATATTAATATTCACCTCTCATGACAGCTATTATTCCAAAGTGCAAATGAAGGCCCCAGTGAAGGCCTAAAGAGTATATATATATATATATATTAGTAATCTGGCTTTGTTGTGGATGTGGGAATTAGAATTCAGGTTTTCAACTTTTCAGATGTACAGGTAAGGTTCTCTGATACTGTAGTATTATTTATATGCATTTTAGCTACCTACTTTGTATTTATTTGTTGTTCATTCATTCATGTTTTCATTTGAATGTAATAGGTTATTATAAATTTTTCTACTAAAATGTATGAAACTTGTTTTTAGATGAAACATTCAAAGAAAGCAAATGAGAAACCCTTTGAATTTGAAAGACTTCTGAATGCAAGCATATTATTAGAGAAGTACCACATATATCAGAAAGTGAATTGGTTGACATGCTGGAGAAACTGAATGGGGTCACAGAGCTCCAAATCATGGAAATAGTGAAGCCATTTGTCACCAAGTTATCTGAAGAATGAACAATTGTTATGGCTTTGATTTTGGATGTTTTTCATGAGGACATTATATCCAAAAGTAATTCTGAGTTAATGAATATCAAAAACAATCATTTTGAATGTAAAGTACTATCATTTCTTTTTACTGTAGATGGAGTTTAGCTTCATTTTGTATGTCAGAAAATATTAAATTCACATATCCATGGTCTATTTTTGAAAATGTGATTAAGAATTTAAATTCTGAATAAATTTGTAGGAATAGAAAAATGTTTTCAATATTATTTCAACACCCTCTACTTACAAACCAATGACTTCAAAGATTGAGATGATCTAGTATATTCAGAGACAAGACAAATATATCTAAAATATTTTTTTTTTCATAAAAAATTTATTTCCAGAATATTTGACATTTCTAATAAAAAAAAACTAACATTTTTCACCTTGCCAATTTAATTTTTTGTGCAATAGGAACATAAAATACCAATACAGTGTTCATAAATTCAAGTACAATAATTTTCCAGTAGACTTTACATTTCAATGAAATATGTTGATGCTTTTTAATGAAGAATCAGAAAAAAATACAGGAAACAGCAAGTTTACTCATAGTCATGATGGTCTGTGATGAAATGACTGTTTCTTGTCCATGGTTGATTCCAGTTGTATTTCTTGTCTGTGAACAAAATATATTCCTTATTTTTCAACATTATAGGCTTCAATTAAACAGGAAATATATCTTTCAACATATATTTGCACATTAATATAAGTTTTTTGTACAAAAAGCATCACACCTTACCTCAGCTAGTTTTAAACTTCTTTTGTCCAACCCATGTGAATCCTCATTGCTTTTGAGAAATATCTGAGATGAATGTCCCATTTTCTGCTAGAGAATCCTGAGTCAGGATCAGTTTCGTCTTCTAATGAAGCAGGTTCACCTGAAAATAATATAAGTGATGTTCACAAAAATCATAATAGCTATAGAAGTTTAGCAGACACCAACTTGGAATCACAGGTTGAGAGTGGACACATAATTAACATATAATCTTTTTGTGAGAAAAAATTGATGTTCTTGTGACTATCAACTTATGATTCCTGCATAAATCTACTTTTGAAGGACTCACCTTTCATGAAATGTCTGCTACGACTGTCTGATGGGTACTGCCTCTTTGAATCAGTAAGATCATCTCATTCAATTGCAGATAACCATTTTTTTCTTCTCTTCCTGAATAAGTCACTTTTACTGGTCAAATACTTGTGATTTAGGATCTAGGGACCCAGTAAAATCCCATTTTTTTCCTGTCATGGCAAGACCCACATACATCCTACTACAATGTATGTATGAGGCATTTTACCTCATCATAAACTGTTAACTGTGGCACAAGGTCCAGAACAGACGAGAAACAAGTCTAACAAGTACAGGAAATCACAAAATAAAACAGTTCACCAATATAATATCACTATGATCAACAGATAAACTATCATGAGCTAATAACCTGTATCACTGCTATAACGAGTCAAATCTTGAAAAATAATGAAAGTATAAGGCATATATTTCAATTTGAAGCAAAAATGATTGTCTATAATCAGAAAAACAAGTCCAACACACATTGGAAATCACAAGAAAAACAGTTTTATCACTACAGTCACATATGGCAATATCAGCAATATCCAATGTGTGCCAACAGCCGCCATATTGCTTTCGATTTGACAGGTCGCTGGATTGCCTTATTGAATTCTCAAATGCTGAAAGTGTTTTCTTCGTGACTAATTCTATTTTTGAAAGTAAGAACTAGATGAACAGCAAGAAATAGTAGTTTGTTGTTCTCCAACAAATTTATCAGAAACAATAATAAAAAAGTGATCTTTCTTTGACCTACATTTAAGAACGTATGTTATTTGTCGTCTACTCACTTTTCCATTGCCCACTATCTTGGTGGGGGTATTCACTGATATAAATATAAGTTCGGCTTCCAAAATGGCTTTTGTTATGTCAGTAGAGAAGAATAAGTTTCTTCCTCTACAAGTTTTGACCACCTTATCCAATCCAGGCTATATAGTAAAAACAAAATCATATTCAGCTAGTATTCCCTTCATACAAATCAACTTAGGTACATGATGAATACCACTCAAAGAAAGAAATCATTTTTTGCGATATTTCAAATATTTATGTTAAATTTTGAAAAGGAATATCCTCAGATATATAATGAACATGAAAAAAATTCGCATATAAGATTTTGATATATCGAAGACTGGAACCTTTGGCACGATAATACACTACCCTGTTTTACCACTAACCAAACCGATTTTTCAAACGCCTCGGCACGTGTTTCACAAACTATGTTAGCATCTTCAGGAGAAGATTGAAACTTTAGTGTGTAGTGTGGTGTATGTAAAATTTTGAGAATAAAAGGGTGAGTCAAAAATGTGTACCGAATTTTCTGGAGGTGATAATGGTAAAAGCCACCAGATTGAATTTTCCTGCATGAATGTATGTTGATAAAATACATTTTTCTGGTACACTTCTACACATCTGATATTGTTATAAACGGTGTTTTTAGAGGGTGTGTCATGATTTTTTGAAGACAACATTATTCCTCGTATTCTTTCTGGTAAAAAAATAGAAGCATTCGATAGATAAAAACGATACTCCTTCAAAATACAAAAATTGTAATCGTTTTCGAGAAATTTGAGTTTTTCTAGTGACAGATAAATTCATCGAGAACTTCTTGGCCGGACGCCATCTCTATTTTCCGTTTTAAAACTTTCTTTTTCACGAAACCTTCGCACAATTCCCAAAAATAATTGTTCTTGAAGTTAAAACGCGTCGAGCGGGAAACACTCGGCATAACGAATAACCTACAATTTCTGTTGAAAATCTCGCAGTGATAATATGACTAAGCAAAAAGACTAAACAAGGAAATTAATAATGACAATGTTCTTGTCATAACCCTCAAAGTTAAGAACAAAATTGATCATGGCCTTCTAAAATATTGTTATCATGTGATATCAATTTTTGTATTTTGAAAGGAGTACCGTTTTTAGGTACTTTTTGTCGCTCTATCAAATATTTTTATTTGTTCACCAGAAAGAATACCAGGTAAAGAGTTGTCTTCAAAAAATTTGACCCACCCCCTAATAACAGTTTATACAAATATCATTAATGTAGAAGTGTATCAGAAAAATGTATTTTATCAACATACATTTATGCAGGAAATTTCAATCTGGTGGCTTTTACCGTTTAGAAGTTATACGGGAAAATTATTCGAATTTTTTTAACTTTGAAAGGATATATACATTTTGGGCCATCAGTTTATTCATCAAACTATTCTTTTTTTTCAATGTACCATCACCTCCAGAAAGCTCGGTACACATTTTTGACTCACCCTGTATAATATCTTGCTGACTGTTCAACAGAAAACAGCTACTTTCCTGGCTATTTGCCACGTCGAACATTGTTATATTTGTTGAACATCCAAGAGGAGGATATGAAAATGCACATCTAAAATTGAGATTTGACATTCTCTCTCAAATCGGATAAACAGTATGATGTTTAACGAATATTCAGAATGATATTATCTACATATATATTTTATCTGGAAGAGAATGCAAATTCTCAACTTCAGAAGATTTTATTTCCAAATTCTTATTGTGTGTTCAATAGATATAATTCAATGTTCGTCGTGGCATATAGCCAGGAAATTATTTGTTTTCTGTTGAATATACCGAGAAAGAATTACTATTTTCATCATATTACAAAGAATGCAAATTCTCAATGTATATCTTTATATGTATCAATTTTTTTTTCATGATGATATATCTGAGAATATTCCTTTTCGAAACTTTCATACCCAATCAAGGGGTTCAAAGTTGGACGATGGACATTTGTTATTTTCACTGGGACACATTGATTTTCCTTGGTTTTGTGTGAAAATTATGTCACGTCCATGCTTTTCAATTAGTAGCAGATTGTCAAAATCGGACGTTGAAATTGTTAGGGTGTGTCCTCTTGCTCGAATGAATCACACTGAATTTATACATTTTAAAAATGGCGTTTCGTGTACTGCACTTTCCACTATCTCATAAAAATCTAAGGCAATTTCTACAATTATTTCATTTTATAAGTGATTCACATTGCATGTATTCCTTGACGATTATCATCATTGTCCAGGAAACAGATTCAGTTTAGAAAGTGTATAATGTAAATGTTCAAATATAAATATCAAGTCACAAAATGCAATGATACTGTATTTCTCTTCTGATCTTTGAAGCTTGTTGAAATTATTTTCAATATTAGAAATTAATATTCATCAAAATAGTTAGGGTTCACCAAATTTTGAAAGTTCTTGATATAAAATTTACCTCATAAATTGGTAATTTGTCAGAATTCCATTGTGCTATCCTTTCTTTACTCAGGTCAGCTACTGTCACCTTCACCTCTGGACATTTCAAGGCAATTACACTACATGTAGGCCCACCAACATATCCAGCTCCAAGACAACAAATATTCGTAATTTTCGCCATTCTTTCCCTGTCTTTCCTTCTTTCGATTAATTCCTTAAAAAAATCAGATGATATATTTCAACGTTAAAAATTTGCAGTCACAGAGGATGATATTAATTGAGGTTGACACATAACATATTTGTATTTCACCTTGATACGAGATTAGTTTTATCTTCAATTCAAATATAGTGCCTATGCTTAATTAGTTCTTGACAAATAAATATACCTATCATAAGATTTTTAATCTACCTATAGGAAGGTAGGTATTATAGATGGATAGTTAGGTCATAAATTCGCCGATTTAAAAGGTGATTTGTTTGTTTCATTTTTTCTCTTAGATGAAAGACTAGCTGTGGTACAACTATAATACATATCAGATCAAGAAATAATAATTAATTATTGTGTTAACTGTACTTTCAATATCATCTCATCCCTGCAAACATCGAATCTCTGGCCGCCTTCTGGCACAGTACATGATTGATCGGCAAATTGCGGCCATAGCCAAGCTGCACCGGTTAAACGTCTGTCCATTGTATGACATATTGTCATATTATAATCGTTTGCCTATAATTTATCCGGCACTGGGCCAATAGTATCAATTCGTATTATGTTTTCACCTACGTCATACAAACGTCTACCCATTATATAGCATAATCACAGTTTGCATATTGAAATCGTTGAACTATAATCTTGTCGGCACCGTCCCAAATAGAGTATGATTCAAACAATCAATCAAAAATATACTTTATTGTCGAAGAAACACATTCTTCACAAAGTATGATAAATAAATAACTACAATAATTGAAGTGAAAAATTATAACTATACGAAATAGCCACAATGCTCGAAGTGGAATGAAATGTTAAATAAATACAAAAAGCTCAAAGTCATTTCCACACAATATTCATAAAATGAACATGGTAGAATTCGATAGAAAAACAACTACTTTCCTGGCTAATGCCACGCAGAACATTGAATTGCATCCTCCCGAAATCTATGCATCGGTATAAGCGATCACTTGTATAAGTATTCGTTTAAATACGAGTCGATGCATGTAATTCAATGTTATGCGTGGCATTAGCCTAGAAAGCAGTTGCTTTTCTCCCGAAATCTTCCACTGTTGGTCATTTTATGAACATTGTGTGGAAATTACTTTAAGCTTGTATTTATTCGAAAAATTATGTTTCAGTTTCAATTGGAAATTCTAATTTTCAAGTGCCCCTCCACATAAGACTTCCAACCCTCATTTCATCCCCTGCTTAAGTGGAAATGTTGTTCAATCATGAAATTCCCTATTAATAGGTGCCCTAACGTTACAGAAAGTAAACTCTATTGCCAAATTTCTTCATTGCTTCACCAGTTTCGGCTCGGCGATGAAGAATCTGCAGATATACCTATTTTGTTATTTCATACTATACAGGGTGTCCCAAAATTGCTGGAACACAGAGCTACCACGTGTAATACAGTTGAAAATAAGTTGATTGGACCCCCAACTTATTTATATAAAAAATGTACCGTTTGTCCGTCAGACGAGTTCAAAGTTTACATAAAAAACACATTTTTATATGCTGTTCAAAAATGTGTGAAACAAATTGGATGAAATTTGACAAAAGTGCATTTTATAAGATAACCGTTCTTTCAGTAATCAAAGAAACCCGGAAGAAATTGTAGAAGAGTTAAAACCACTCTCACCCCCTGAAATTTCCTTCCTTTTATATAATATATAAGTTGAGTGCAATCAACTCATTTTGAACTGTATTACACGTGGTAGCTCTGTGTCTCAGCAATTTTGGGACACCCTGTATAGGTATGTTTATTCATTGCATTCAAATATAATCAAGTCATCAAATTCGGCAATAAAAATTAGGCAAGCGCCTGACTCACAAAATAGGTATGACAAAAATTCGGTAGTAAATCGGATAATGTTTTTACTTGTTCATCGTTTGTATATATATGTATATATATCTATTCTGTTATGATTCTGGTAATCATTATTACACATATAGCACCAGTACGTCCCCAAAACGTACTGAGATCGTCCAGCCAAGACGTTTCGTACGTACTGGGGACGTCCAGATTCAACGTATCAACGTATATTCGCTTTTTTTACTCAGGTAGTTAAAAGAGAGATCTAGACAGAGTAGAAAAGATCTTATTTTGAATGAAAAATTGAAAAAAATGCGCTCCTACTGGGGATCGATCGATCGATCCCATAGTACCATAAGGTTGCCGGGCAGATGGTCTATACCTATTACTCTACAGAATACTTATTAATATATCAGTATAATGAGAGATCATGTGCGAATGTCGATTGACCCCCCACATTGATATACTTCCATATAATTAGACGATCACGGCAGAGAATACCTAAATAGATGTTTTGTGATTAGATACGGCCAGTAAAAAATGAATGGTGTCAATTGTATTATGTTCATGTTTGCAAGGATCCTACAAGAATTGATATCAGAGATCACGGGTAGTAATTATATGCAATGATTTCAATTATAATTATACAATTTATTCAATTCCGTCCACAAAAAGTCGATAACGTCCAGAGTTGGACGTACTCTGTACATCGGTATCGTACGTCCCCAGAACGTCGAGTGCTATATGGGTAATGAAATATTTCTATTCGAAATTTACCGCAAATAAATTCCGAACACACAGCATTTCAAGAAAGGTGCATGTAGCTCAGTTCGAATAAGTTCGATTTGTAACAGGAGGACCGGGGTTCGAATTCGGTGGCGGTCGTCTTTTTTTTATTTGAATGTATCAGCAGACATGTACTGGACCTGATGACGACCAGATTCTCCAATTGGTACTGACCCTGACCCTGACCTACAATGTTACAGGAATTTTGCCGCTCTGGTAAAATCTGGTCTGCATTCTTGGCCAGCATGAGGCCGACCAAAATTGTTTTATTTAATTTTTTTTCATATGAAGCTACACTTGTGGCTACGGCTATACCTGTAGTATACGCAACGTTTAATGTATATGTCCACAGAATCATTCAAGTTCGAAATTGGAATAACAAAACTTACCTAATATAATTATCCAAATATGTATTACTGCTTATGAAAATCAGTTGCGAATACATTGGGATTATTCAGATAACCTGTTATCTTACTTCCGGGTGACGTGGTGAAACATTTATAGAAAACCTATAAAGTGAATTATATAGTCAATGCTACATGCTTCTAATTTTGTGAGGCTTACCTTGATTACCATTGTGAAAATGTCAATATAAACACATCACAATTATGGGAATTGTTGACAATTGACATGATATTGGGCTGGGCGCCTTTTCTTTGCTTCGTCTCCTATCGTATCGTCGTATCGTAACTTGTGTGGCCATCTATTGTACAAGCGTGATAGTAGAGAAGCGTTGTAGTTTATAGTTGTTTGTAGTGAGAACCAGAAAACTGGTTAATATTCTACTGCTTATGTTATGGTTTCCATATCTAGCCAATAGAGGTAGATAGTTGTATGTTAATAGAAGACTTTCAATAATTACCGTTTGTGTTCGTAGGAAGTTAGAAACTTGGGACTTTCGTCTCCTACGGGTGTGTTAAAATAAGGTACTTGTTCAAATTATGTGACTATTTTCTTCTCAGTCATCCAAAACAGCCCCCTCAATATCCCTTTCATCATGTTCAAACTCAAATACAGCATTTAAATAAATCAATCTGTCTTGTATGCTTTCTTTTTTCAGGACATTTTTAGCAATCATCAATTCAAGATTTCCATCGACTTGAATTTTCTAATTTTAATTACCAACAAAGTTAATATACAATATATTGGGGCATAGGGCAGTAATACTCTACTTTAAATTATTTGATTCAATATCCACGTTCCTTATTGGATTCAACAATTTTTCATAGCTCCTGAAGTCCGAATCTGGATAAAATCGACCATATCGTCCTAGTGAATAAACTAATAATAATAATAAATAAATTTATTGATTGGGCCTGCTAAACTTTCACTTATATCATAGATTAACGACTCCCCTAATCTATGCTTATATTGACTCCAATGATATTAATTGACTAATAAATCTTATATACCTCAGCTGATATTGCCTTTGGATATAACTGCCCATATATATACCTGAATACCTCAACCAGATTATCTTTATTTAATGTTCAGTAGAATTATAACTCAAAGTTAATTATACAAAGTGTAATTTGATTGATGGCATACAATATAGAATATGTTTCCTTAGCTCATTTTAAGAAGAAACGTTCATATGAACATAAATGCCCTAAACCTCGAATTTACATAATTCCTAGTTTTTCAATAGATTTTTCATCGATGGGCTTTGAAAAAATGTGGCAACATTCCCAATATCACAAATTTTCATATTTACCTCATTGCTGACATAGTTTTTTGACAAACACTAGTTACAAGTTTACCAAGATTCAACGTTTTTTAGGGTCCTAGTTAAGTCATAGAATGGATCGCCTTCTCATAGAGAATCAAAAAAGACAATGAGCAAGGAAGTGGTATACAGTGTGTCCCACTTACCATGCTCACCATGGGTATCTTTTTAACAGTGAGAGATACGAGGTCGGTTAAATGACACCAAATGTGGAGTTTGTCAAGGCCAACTATAATGTGAAAAAAAATTTTGATAAAATCTATTCGTTTTTGTTTTATAAGCAAAAAACAGATTTTTATCATTTTCATGTGTCCTCCGTAACTTCTTTATTTATGAAAATACTCAAATAGGAATTTCACATTTTCATGGCAGTTTTTCAAAGTGATTTCGAAAAAAATATGAAATTGATACCAACTCTTTTAGAATTTGAGATATCAGCACCAACTTTAGTTTTTCAAATGTAGGTCATAGCTCACTATGACTTAGTTACAAATAACTTTTTTTTCTCTTCCAGATCATATGTCGCAGTAATAGTTTTGTGTTGATAACAACGGAGTTATCGTCATTTATACAAAAACAAACTATTATTTGGAAGCCGCCATCTTGAATTTATAAATTTTAACAAAAAAATCATGATCTCCGACCTCAAAAACCCCCACTTACCAATTTTGAATGGAATCGGACCAAATCTTGTCCGCCATTTTGGAGCAGCCATTTTTTTCAATTTCAAGAAAAATTCCATAACTCAGATTAACTTGAAATTTGACAGGTGTTCATAATTTCGGTGACAATACATTATGGAATTTTTGTTGAAATTAAAAAAAATGGCTGCTCCAAAATGGCGGACAAGATTTGGTCCGATTCCATTCAAAATTGGTAAGTGGGGGTTTTTGAGGTCGGAGATCATGATTTTCTTGTTAAAATTTATAAATTCAAGATGGCGGCTTCCAAATAATTGTTTGTTTTTGTATAAATGACGATAACTCCGTTGTTATCAACACAAAACTATTACTGCGACATATCATCTGGAAGAGAAAAAAAAGTTATTTGTAACTAAGTCATAGTGAGCTATGACCTACATTTGAAAAACTAAAGTTGGTGCTGATATCTCAAATTCTAGTAGAGTTGGTATAAATTTCATATTTTTTTCGAAATCACTTTAAAAAACTGCCATGAGAATGTGAAATTCCTATTTGAATATTTTCATAAATAAAGAAGTTACGGAGGAGACATGAAAATGATCAAAATCTGTTTTTTGCGTATAAAACAAAAACGACTAGATTTTATCAATTTTTTTTTTCACATTATAGTTGGCCTTGACAAACTCCACATTTGGTGTCATTTAACCGACCTCGTATCTCTCACCGTTTAAAAGATACCCATGGTGAGCATGGTAACTGGGACACACTGTATATTATATTATTCTTTTTGATCGCACGTGGAAGAATTCCTATTGTGTTTGTGGAACATCGTGCGTACCTGGAATGGATAGGAAAATAAGATAGGTATTGGATATTTTTGTGTTTTCGGATGCTATGAAGTCTTGACATTACTGCCCCTTGAGGTTGATTTTTCTCTCTTCAACTTCTACTACTCCACTTTGACCACTATGGACTTCTGCATACCTTTACTTTCCTAGGAGAAGGATTTCAAAGGTTTTGGTTTTGGTGGATAGTTGTTCGAAATATTTCGACAAATCTCGGGGTTGACTACAAAAGTGGTGTGTTGACTGAGCTTCTCGAGTTCGTCTGACTGGTATTAGACTGGTATCAAATCTAATAGCATCAGAGTATCCCTCCATATTGAGGGAACAATATTTTGAAATGTGCAAAATCTTATTGATGTTGTAAGAGGTAGCTTTTCGCGCAGAATAAAGCGTCGTTTTTGAGAACCAGCTTTTACAATGGATCATACATAATTTTTCCAAGAAAAAGTATTACTGATGTTGACTCCCAGCACTCCTGTGAATTAGTGAAACATAGTAGGTAAGTCTTTTTGACATGATTTTCAGAACATTAAAAATTGATTCAAACCATTGCCATTTGGAATTTTTCGTAGATATCATCAACTTATGTGGTGAGTGACATAATTTGCAGATAAAACCATCATGTATATGATTCTGAAAGGAAACTAGTGAGGAAATAAGGAAATATAGGAATTTTTTTATCTGATAAATGATATCATCGATATCATCACCATGAAAAAAGTCAGCAAACCTATTTACTAGGTTTTGTCTTGCAATATTCATCGCAGAAAGTAGCAAGCAATACTGGAATAACCTCGTGAATGAAGTATATCAAATAAAAAAATGATTAAAAAAAGAAAACTGTCGCCAATAAAATAATATATCGAAAATATCGAAAACATAATCATTCCACAGAGTATGTGGAAAGGAGATCGCTAAATCTTCCTAAAACAGAAAAACCTAATAAATCAAATTGCTGATGGGACTCGTCAGGTTTCATCACTTACTCACCTTCTTATTTTTTCCGTTGTATAATTGCCATTCATACACTTTCACAACAGCAATGATGAATTGCTATATATTCTTCTATTTTGAAACAGATTTACTATACTTTTTCATTGATTATCAATGGATCTATGGACTTACTAGGGAATTCCGAACATTAAAAGAATTTCCTTTCGTGTGCTCCAAGAGATAAAAAAAAATATGAAAAAAATTTAAATTCGTTTATATAGGAAAAATTTAGTAGTATTCGAATACACTGGATACCAAACATCAGCAAAAGTGACTTGCTAGGTTTTATATACCTTTGCACGGAACAGTATTGATATTGTGGAGTTTGTAGGATTGATGGTTTTAGGCATTATAAATACAGACTAGTTTCGGTTATTTGCTTTTTGGTCATCGAGATCTTTCAAGTATCATTGCTCGACAATGTCCATTTCATTTCAAGATAGGGCATTTTGAACTTCAAGGCAGGGCATTGCCCCCCAATGCCCCCCGCCCCTAGCTACGGCCCTGGGCCCGGGACAGGTGCGCGGCACCATTTGCACCCCCTTTTGCTACGTCCCTGTTCATAGGTATACCTAGATCCAAATCGTCCATGATTCAAATGAATATATTGAATAACTATTGTTGATTATGATTATGAAAAGAATACCAATAATTCAAGAAGTCGAAAACAGAATTCAAGTGTTTGTTTTCCTAAAACAAATCTGAAGATTTTAAAATTCAAGTATAGAATTAACAGGCCATAATGATGATTTATATTTATTCATATGAAGAAAATGTAACAACGTCGATAAAATTTTGTTAGTAATAAATACACATTTCGTACAAAAATCAACTTCAACAAGTGAGGTAAAAAAATATGATTTCGCTATACCGGGTGACACAGGGTATCGTGCCACCCCTGTAACTTCTGTATTTGTAAATGCATTTTTCTGAAATTTGGTACAGTTATATACCTTTTTTTTCATGATCTGGTTCCCACGAAAAGGGATATCCTCTAATGTTCAGAGAACATCGTGAGAACCAAGGGAAATAAGGTAGGAATTGGTGTTCTTCTACATACATATTCAACACATTGCCAAGGAAAGTGTTCCCCAAGGCATATAACCTTCAGAAATTTAAGAAGAACACCAATTCCTTATTCATTTCCCTTGGTTCTCATGATGTTCTCTGACCATTACAGGATATCCCTTTTCGTGAGATCCAGAACATGAAAACAAAATATTCCCATGATATCAGATTGTTTCTAATTCTTTTAATTAACGAAAAATTTCATCCCGAAAATTTAACAAAAACGAGGAAATTTGAACAGAGATGACGTCAGAATTGCTACACTGTAGAACTTTGGGTGGAAAAAGGGGTCTGATCCCAAATTTTATTTTGATCCATATATTTTTTCATTGGTGCTATTCGATAGTATACGTCAAGCTTTCTCAGGGTTTGAAATATTTGCACTTATTTCAATGCCACCCTGTATAGGCAATTATTTCGGATCAGTATCAAATTGAATACATTCAAAAATCAACAACTAGTTTTATGAATTTACTTGCACTTCGAATAAATTTTCAAGTAAGCTGTGGAAAACAACATTTCTGAATCTTGTCATAAGGATTGCACTTGTACATACAGGGTGTTCCATTTGGAAAAACAAACTTGATGACGTGTCCAGAAAACCTGGAAGTTCGCCATATTCGATTATAATGTCATCGAATCCGAAATGGTTGCTAACACAACTGTACCAAATTTCAGAAAAATCCGTTTACGAATGCAGAAGTTACAGGGGTGGCCTGATATACTGACAATTTCATTATATATTTGTTTTATTATAATCTCATTCCTATAGTCTGTACGTGAAACCCAATTTTGAGAAGTGCCTGATGATCTACAATTTTCCTGCCATCGAAAACATACGCAGGCTTCATCATTTCTGAGTAAATTTTCTGGTAGTCGAGGTTCTGGAAAAAAATAACAAATACCTAAGTTGGAAAACAGATGTGTACCGAGTTGAAGACTCACTATAAATTCATCCCATTCCGTACAAATGACGATAGCATGACAACCTTCCGAACAACTGTAAGGATCTGAATGAACAGAAACACGTGGCCTCCATTCCTCTGGGGGTGTACATATCACTGAGTTGGCCAAATCTTCATAAATCTGATTTTGTTCCACCTAAAACAACAGGGAAGATGTAAAGAGCATGATTCCTGGGCGTCAATAAGCAATTGAAAGATATCAAACTGGAGTCAACTAGGGAAATTATGGAACCCTCTTATTAAAACTAGAACAGATAAGCATTCAAAAGAAATGAACAGAAAGATATACTTCATCATAGTGGAAGGAGAAGATGCCTACGCGCATATTATGTGACGTCATCTGGGATACCAATATCAGCTGCTAGTCATAGACAGATACCGTTGCCATGGGCGTGCGCAATGAATTCAATCATGTTTATTGAAATTTCTATGAGTTTCTCGATCTGTTTAGAAATAATTCAATTTATATAAACACGTTCCTATTCCTTCGATTTTACTACTCCATTTGTTCTGGAAATTGTGATCTTGAGGTAATTCGCAATCGCAAATAGCAAATACATACGAATTATCATGCATTGCCAATCCCATCTGAATGATCCACTACTGTGTCGATTCTGACAGATTGACGTTGCTTCTGCTCCGACATCGACAACAGGAGTATCAATTTTTGCCGTTTTGTTATTCAAATCTTTGCTGCAATCTATATTTTGTGAGAAATTAAGAGTTTTGAATTCATTTTCAATTATTTCTGACTTGATATTCGGAAGATGTTCTATAGGAATGGTATCTTGTTTCAAATATTTGTGATTTTTTGAAGGTGTGTAATTCAAGAACCGTACTTTCGCACTTGTTGTAATATGAATGAGATGATGATATGATAGGTGAATACTTTGGAATGAGAATATAAGGAATATAAGGTAGGTACCATTATTTGAGTTTATATTCCGTCGGCAGCACGCTCCCATCGTTTCATTAGGTCTCCATTCTTGGAAAAGCAGAAAAATGCAATATCTGTGCCTTTTGTATGTTAGTTGGAATTTCCAGAAACGAAACAAGTAGGCATTTCGAAATTATTTCATTCAATTTTAGTACTTATAATATAATATCTGAAGTTCGAGACATCAATCACGAAAACAAATAATATCAATGACAGTTATATCCGAGATGACGTCATGCGCAGAACCAGACGAGTTTGAGCTTTCTGTTGAGCACACCATCTTCTCCTTCCACTATGTACTTCATGTATCTCTAGTCAGAGGCAAGTTTATAGCACAAAATGCTTTTAGATCTGACCAAAGAAGCACTGAGGCTAATAATAGGCCTTTTTAATTGGTTTAATTGCCCTCCAAAACACTAGATTTGCTTCACTGTGTGTTCAATAACGGGAATCCAAACTTGACATTTAGCAGCAAGAAGGCCAGCAAATTCATACTCGATTATATTCTGATCTGCCACATTCAGACTCTATATTTAAATCTGATATTCTTTGGATGATTCAAAAATCGTATTGCAACAATATTGGCATGAAAATGTTGAAATGTTCGGTCGATTGCCCAACAGGAAAGACTTCTTATCCATAGGAGCTTATATGAAATAAGGAAACCAAATACTGACTGCCTCGAACCAACAAGAAGTTATACCAACCTTAGGGTCATATATTCTTATAGATGCCCCTTCATCTAGTAATGTCTTGGCAACAAAAATAGAAGGACTCTCCCTAGTATCTCCAGTGTTCTTCTTGAAAGCGAACCCAAATATACAGATATTTTTGCCGCTCAACGTATTGAAACACGACTCAATAATCTTAGTGGTGAAACGAGTTTTCTGGTATTCATTGATGTCTATAACTTGTTGCCAGTATTTTGCTACTTCAGGCAAATTCAGACTTTCGCATATGTAAACGAGATTCAGTATGTCTTTTTGAAAACAGCTACCTCCAAAACCTACAAAGTCAAATGTAAAACAATTCAACAAATTATGTATTTTTGATCGTACCGACAGAAGCTTGTAGGAACTTGGAACCTATTCTGGAATCCAAACCTACTGCCCTTGCTACTTCAGAAACATCGGCACCAGTAGCTTCACAAACTGCTGATAGGGAATTGATGCTGGATATCCTTTGGGCGAGCATAGCATTTGCAGCCTTCAAAACAAAATCTGAGATTTTTCATGTTCCAACTCTAGATAAGTGATAGAGGCTTACTAGTTTTGATAATTCGGATGACCAGGTATTCATTGTTACTATATTTGTTTTCGGAATCCAGTGTTGGTAAACGCTACTTAATTCTTCTATTGCTGCTCTGCCTGCAGGGGTGTCTTCACCACCAATCAGAACTCTGTCAGCGTATAGTAGATCGTTTATGGCACTGCCTGGAAGACATTTAGTAGAAGCTTTCATGAGAAGAGTCTATCTCAAAATTTTGATGTGCAGAAAATCGTGTACTTATAATTCATCTACAGTGTGACCCACTTCTAAAGGAAAAACCCCTGTATCTTACGTAATCGTTGGGTAAGAATCCTGAAATTCTCTCTTCATCTTCAGTGATAAACACTGCTCGCCAACATCCATGGAAACACCCCAATTTCCGGGAAATGATATTAGGAGGCAAAATAGGTTGAAAATCACTTCGTATTCGGTATCAGGACGCCTATTCTTAGTTTTCCTAAAAAAATTTCAGTTCAGAAAAATTAAATTTTGTCTCACTTCTCATGAAAGCACGTATCTCACGTAATTATTGAGGTAGGGTTCTGAAGTTTGCAGGAGAAAGGCAAAGTCCAAAGATAAAGTCAATTACGTAAGATACGGGGGTGCTTCCGAAAAAAGTGCGACAAAATTAAATTTTTCAGAACTGAAAATTTTCCAGGAAAAATATGAATAGTTAGTGAATTGGGCGTCCTGATTCCGAATCTGAAGTGATTGTCCTTACCCAACGGATTACGTGAGATACAGGGGTGTTTCCATCAGAAGTGGGTCACACTGTATACATTCATCCAGAACGGCCTCATAGATTTTGACATAACTCTAGTATAGTGAATAGGGTCGAGAATATTTGTAACAAATCTAGATGTGAAAGGTAAAGCGAAAATGTTCATTTTTGAAAACGTAATTAGAGTAGTTTGATTCGATCATATGTTCCGGAAAATGTAGATATGTAGTAGGTACCTCAAGATTGCTAATAATGGTTTTCCAAATTTTCCCAACAATCTGAAATAAAATTTTGAATTGTCTCGGCCGTTAGGTACTTGATGGAAATCCATAGTAAACGTAAAAAATAATCACAAACGATTAGATTTCTACATAATTCTTAATCACGCTGATTAATCTTATCGTTCGTGAAGTTTCTAACTTTGAAATGGAATTACTTTATGATTCAGCTTTCAGCTCCCAACAGTTGCAGACTTGATTATCTCGAAATATCTCATCAAGATGCCGATGTGATGAAATCGACAAAAAAAAACTATGAACGAAATAATTATCTCATTAAACAAAGATACTGATATAGATACTATCCTTTGTTAGAAATAACATCCGTTCGTGATTCAGTAAAGCAGATTTGTTTGTATAATACAAGTTAATTATAAGGATGAACGGTGTTTTATTTATATCTCATTACCTTCGGCAAGAAACTCTGGATTAGATAGAATTTGATATGCAACTCCTGGCCTCTGATTGGCTATCAAAATATTTGAAATACTTTCAGCTGCTCTTACTGGCACGGTACTTTTTTCGACAACAATTTTGTCACTCTTTGACACATCCGCTATGATTCTGGCAGCACCTTCTACATATTTCAAATCAGCAGCTCGTCCCTAAAATGTATTCTACAATAAATGCAATTTTGCATTCGTTTTTCAAGTTTACCTTTCCGTTACCAAATGCCTTGGTAGGTGTGTTCACTGATATGAATATCAAGTCAGCTTCTAAAATTGCACTTGTTATATCACTAGAGAAAAATAAATTCTTTCCTCTACAAGATTTCACTACATCATCTAAACCAGGCTACAATAAAAGCATTTGACTATGAATATTTCAAACACTGAATATATTGTTACTTCCTCGCGCTGTATATACTTATTCCAATAATATAATTGTACAGTGCGATCTATAAGTAACGCATGAATTGATTCAAATTTCTGAAAACAAAGACGGTGAAACAAATTTTTCGAATCATCAATTTTCATGAAGAATTAAAATATTCGGTAGAGAGCGGTGATTCAATTTACAACGGTCCAGCCTCCGAATACAGAACAAATTTATACAGGGTGTCCCGTGACTCGATGGCCATAGCTTAAGGGTATATACCTTGAACAATTTCAAGTCGAAAGTGCCTCATACACCTTTGTCTTCAACTCAATAGTTTAGAAGTTATGAGCAATTAAATAACAACTTTGCTCACCAGTAGATTTCAAGAGGTGGTCCAGTTCTTTGGTCATAGCGGTCACCTGACTTCTATTATCTTTAGGGACCCATGAAAAACTACTGCATTCAAATAAACCACAAATCAGAGAAGATCTCATTCAAAATATCATGACTACAGTTCTCGCTACAGTTGCTTCCATAGGAGACGACCCAGATACTTTTCAGAGAGCAATTATTACCCAACCAACACAGTTACATCACAGAGATATCGCAGCGATGTAACAATTGTGGCTTGCGATATGGCATTCTATGTCGCGAAGACGTCGCTGTGATGTCAGAGGGATGTTATTTCGTTCCACTCAAGTTTTATCCATGCGACGTTGCTGCGATGAGTTCTCTGCGATATAACAGCGATATATTTTTTGCAATGTTATTGCGATATATGATTTATGATGGAGAAGCGATGTGCTTTCGCAATAAAACTACGATGTGATGCGAGATGACATCGCAGGAAAACGAGCAAAAAAATTCTCAAACATGGTGTGATTATGGGTACATCACTGACTTCTGATGACATCTAATATTGATCATGTGTTGTGACTGGTTGTTGGTCCCTCGGGTCTCCTGTCCATTCAATCGCCTTTTCAGCGGCGCTATTCTTGGTATAGTCTATCGAAAGTCAGTTGGAGCGTTTGTCAGTTGTACAATGCATTGATCTTTATCAAACAGGTGCTGGAAAAAATTTTAAATCGAAAAACCCAATCTGCGAATGTCTGCCACGTGTACGGACTCCTAACGAACTTCAAAGGAAGCGAAACTACTCTGCGTATAGTTTATGCAAAGTCAGTAGGAAACACACATCACCGCAAGCCGTCGGACCCTTTGAAAGTTCGAAGAGTGCGGCAGCGTGGCCCGACATTCGTTTGATGATCTATTCAACTGACTTTCCATGAACTTTACCATATTTGTATCAAAATTTTGTCGTGTATGTCGGTGAGATGTAAGCAAACCAAGAATAGTTTGATAGCTATGTTCCCCGAGGCATATAACCTTCAGAAATTTAAGAAGAACACCAATTCCTACCTTTTTTCCCGTGGTTCTCTCGATGTTCTCTGAACATTACAGGATATCCCTTTCCGTGGGAATCAGAACATAAAAAAAAACGAATGTTTGCGAACTCAGCTTCACTTTGTTGAGTAACGTATATTCATGTATTGTTTTCAGCCTAACATATGAGTTTGCTTCTGTATGTACATTGCAGCGATACAAAATTCGTGATATCGCATTGTTGCCTCATCATGACATCATAAAGATGTCATGTCGCAGATGTGTTTGCTTCTGTACATCACAGCGATGGAACATTCGTGATATTGCAGTGTTGCTTCATTTCGACATCTCAGAGATGTCATGTCGCAGATGTGTTTGCTTCTGTACATCGCAGCGATGGAACATTCGTATTTTCGCAGTATTGCCTCATCGCGACATCTCAGAGATGTCATGTCGCAGATGTATTTGCTTCTGTATATCGCAGCGATGTAACATCCGTAATATCGCAGTGTTGCCTCATAGCGACATCTCAGATATATCATGTCGCTGATGTGTTTGCTTATGAACATCGCAGTGATGGAACGCTTGTAATATCGCACTGTTACCTAAACGCGACATCTCAGAGATGTCATGTCACAGATATGTTGACTGGGTAGTCGAGCAAGAATGTAAATGTAAAGCAGCAGGGGGGGGGGCATTTTGAACAAAACCCTAATCAAATTTGTGTAAGTAGTAAAAAAATTCGAAATTGTATTACATTACTTTCTTCAACATTCTCTTTGCGTCATTACACACTCCTGTTAGATTCAATATTGCTCATTACTCCTCAACTATTAGAGTTTTAGGTAAAAGTGTATAAGGCACTATCGACTTGAAATTGTTCAAGGAATATCTCGAGGAATATGCCTTCAGCTATGGGCATCCAGTCATGGGACACCCTGTATAAAAAAGTTTTGTTAAATCTACTAAGATATGTGTGGCCGATTTAATTGATTCCAGGAAACACTCAATTGATAGTTTCACAAAAGACTGTATGCAAATATTGAACAATGCGGATTTCATAAACTAATTTGAATTAATTGGACACAATGCGAGGAAGTACCATGTGAATTATTGTTCACTTGTTTCACCTCGTATATGGGTAATTTATCAGAATTCCATTGTGCTATCCTATCTTTGCTCAAATCGACCACTGTCACTTTTATTTCCGGACATTTTAGTGCTATCACACTACAAGTTGGTCCTCCTACGTATCCCGCTCCTAAGCAGCAAATATTTTTGATGGGCATTGCACTCTATATTTCCAGGTACCCTGAAAAGTACTTCAAATTGAGTATGGAGTAAGAATAATTATGACCCTGTTATACCGGTTGTGTCAGATATTTTCATACAGCAAATATCTGTTATGCTGCTTGGAAAAAAATTACACTTTTGTCCAACCCAAATGACTTAGAAGTCATTGTGTCGAAGTCAACTTCTGTCAAATGAAAAACCACCCCAACTTCATTTTTTCGAATAACACCCTAAACATGTGTTTAATAATAATAATAATAATAATAATAATAATAGACGTCTTTATTACTTCTGAATAGAAAATAATGTATAAACTATGGGTGGATAATAATTTTCAGAAGAAAAGGGCGAAGTTCAATTCAGTTTCTAGATGACTCCGTCCACTGAATTGCTCTGTTGTTGATATGTGAAGTGCAATCGATTAAAACTTCAACGATGTATCACACTTGCTGATTTAAATGACGTAAAATTGACAGAATATTCATTTGGAGTAAACGTAAAAGGTATTGTCTCACTTGGATGTATGTACAGTCAGATTCAAAGAACATGTCGCGGGTCGATGGTGTAAGCACTCTTATTGCAGAAGTGACTAGAGGTGCTATCACCGCCCATGTGCGACATTTTCTTTGTATTTGACTGTACCTAAAAACTGAATCAAAGACGCGCGAAAACTACTGTCAATTTAAACAAACATATAGCAGAAGAAATTATTAGACACCTTATAATGTTTCCTTCGAATTCTGTAATTTCGAAAGTATTACGTATATATCAAAATATCAAGTGTGATACATAGTTGAAGGTAGAATCGATTGCACTTTACTAATCAACAAAACATGTGTAGGGTGTAACTTGAAAAAATTAAGTTGAGGGTGTCAAAAGTTAACTTTGACATAATGGCTTCAAAGTCATTTGGATTTGACAAAAGTGTATTTTTTTATTTAAATACAAGCAGAATAACTGAGATATTGGCTGTATGAAAAGATCTGGGAAACCCGGTATAATTCATACAATTTTAGATTTTTGTCAAAAGAGCCTGAATTAAAAAAATTAAACGATTGTTGTTCATATATTTCTAGAATTATTATAAATTCGATACTGAGAAAAAACAGGATAGTAGACAAAATATCCTGATGAATGGCTCGACAATAAATAGTTTTAACCATAACAAACAGGTTTATTTTTCACTTATCATATAAATATATGATAATCGACTGACCTCATAATGAACTTCCTGTATAAACTACCTGTAACCTACTACTTATATCAAAATTCTATGTCATATGACATTTTCCGGCTAATTTAGATAGCGATCCCACTTCTGATATCATGTCGCTGAATAATTTCCGCTTGTTCAATTAATTATTTCATTCCCTATTTTCCTCGCTGTGATCCTTATAACTCGTTTAGGTAACTTATTGTTAACATGATAATAATATTCTTGCATCAACAAAATATTCCTAGCACAATCTTAGAATATACGTATAGTATAAAATTAATAACATCAATGAATAACTATTGGGTATCCCAGGCAATAGAAATAGATTAATACACTAGGTACCATTTGCAAATGATTGATGTTCTACACTATAAAATAGAAAAACTGTCATTGAATTGTTGACACAAAAAGCATTGGTTTTCTGGAACAACAAATGAATCTACTTCTATTCTGTGAAGATTTCAAAAACATGGTGGCGGAGACAATTTTTTATTCAAGAAACATATAAGAAAATTCACAAAATGTTAATGTTTTTGTTGTTATTAATAAACAAAATAATTATCTTGTCATATAAACGAGATATTGCCTGTATACGATAACTTGGGACACCCTGCATGTAATGTATCTTTTCGCATTCAGCCAATTATTATTTTCTTTACATAAATTCTGGGTACCTACATCGGAAGTACCCAGGATTCAGGGGTCATATATGACACCTTCTGTCCTATAAAAAAAATATGTTTTTCTGTTTACTAGGCTAAATTGCTACAATAACGATATATTTGTCAAATTTCGAAAGGCCACTTTCAAAACAATTCTATTATCATTTTTATTTTCATTTCATAATGGATTTCATGTGCTTATTCCATTGTCCTTATGATGAAAGATGGATAGGTATGTACAGTCGTCTTCAGAGATCATGTCGCACATGGACGGTGTCAGCTTCCTTGATCACCGCTGCAATAAGAGCCATACCGTCCAACCGCGACAAGTTCGTTGAAGATGAGTATACGTACAATAATGACAAAATGTGTTTTTTTTTTATTCTGGCTGATTAGATCAAAAAATCATATTGATCATTAAACGATTTTTATAGCTGTTAAATTTTCACAAGAATGTTGTAGTTTCGAATCAAAAAGTCATTCATTTTATAAAAAAAAATGTTTTTTTCACCAGCTACTTAATCAGTTGTTAGGGAGGGAGGATACCTCGATACCTATAATTCTCGGTTTAATTAAAAATTAGTCATCAATTTTCTTTTTAGTTTCATTGTCAGATTTGTAGTGTCAAGGTTAATTTAGTCGGTAGGTATAGTTATTTGGTAGTCAACTGATGTTGATGGCCAATTCAGATTCAATGAAACTCATCAAAGAAACAACCGTTAACCTTATGAGTATGTATGGATGACTGAATTTCAATGACAATAAAATGCTGATTCTCCAATTATCACAAAACATTCACTGAACTTGCAGAAAAAATCTACTTTTGAGTGTTCAGGTGAATAAATCCGCTTCACCTCAGGTATCTTCACCTCAAGTATACAGAGCGTCCATAAGGTCATGCACAAATACGGAGAATTTGAGTTAAAAACACGAGATTGTTCCGAATGTAACAGAGTCAACAATCCGAAATATATGGTTTTTTTGTTTATCAAATTATGCAAAGTCCGCCTCTGGGGTTTAATTCCGGGAAAATATAGACGAATTTTCACTATTTCAAAAAATATTATGAATATGAAAGACAATTTTTTTTTAAGCAGAAAGTATAGGTACTCAAATTCAAGCTGTATGCCAACATTATTTGATGAAGGGGATGCCTGGATCTACAGGGTGAGGTTTCTGGAGGTGATAGTATGTTAAAAAAAAGCATACTTTGATAGACCCACTTATGGTTCAAAATGCATATTGAGGGAGATAGATATATAGTTGATATATTAACTTCTAAACGTCGAAAGTCGCCAGATTTCAATTTTCTGCATGAATGTGTGTTGTTAAAATACATTTTTCTGATACACTTCTACATTTATGATATCGTTATAAAGGGTGTTTTCAGTGTTTACATGATATCAGCAGATTTATTAATCGGTGACAATATTTTAGGAGACGATGACCAATTTTTGTCTTAACTTTGAAGTTTATGACATCAACATTGTTATTGTTGATTTCTTTGTTTAGTTTTTTGCTTAGTAATATTATTAGCACTACACTTTTCGAGAAATCGACGCTCATCATACTCAACTTTTTACGAAAAAGATACAATCATATAAAATGTTTGACAAAACCATGATATCTCGAAATTCATGACACTTTGTATGATAAATATTGTTGAATATGTTCGAAATGTTCTTACCTATCGCTCACTTTTACTACTGTCAGATAAACGTCGGTGAACCAAACACCCTGTACAATAATCGTTTTTAATTCAGTATTCAAATTCTTTATGAAATGAAATTTCCAGCATTTTCATATGTATGTGTTCTGTATATGTAAATATTCTAAATATTCGGAAGGGCCATGAAATAGCGCAATTTTTTTTGTAATTTAATCAATTTTCACCTCATACCGTTTCCACGAAGACTATAGTGAAAAATAAAAGAGGACGTTTTCCGGTTTTTCTGTTTCATTTTTATATTTTAAATGGATTATTTTAATTGAAAATTGGGGATTAGTATACAAGGTATCCCGAAATTACATTATAGAGATTTCAACCACAAATTCTGGGAACAGACATAGTGAAAACAGTTCATATAAACATGAACGCAGAAATGGCCCCCTAGGGAGTTATACAGTGTGTCCCACTTACCATGCTCACCATGGGTATCTTTTAAACGGTGAGAGATACGAGGTCGGTTAAATGACACCAAATGTGGAGTTTGTCAAGGCCAACTATAATGTAAAAAAATATTTTGATAAAATCTATTCGTTTTTGTTTTATACGCAAAAACAGATTTTGATCATTTTCATGTCTCCTCCGTAACTTCTTTATTTATGAAAATATTCAAATAGGAATTTCACATTCTCATGGCAGTTTTTCAAAGTGATTGCGAAACAAATATGAAATTTATACCAACTCTTCTAGAATTTGAGATATCAGCACCAACTTTAGTTTTTCAAATGTAGGTCATAGCTCACTATGACTTAGTTACAAATAACTTCTTTTCCTCTTACAGATGATGTGTCTCAGTAATAGTTTTGTGTTGATAACAACGGAGTTATCGTCATTTATACAAAAACAAAAAATTATTTGGATGCCGCCATTTTGAATTCATAAATTTTAACAAAAAAATCATGATCTCCTACCTCAAAAACCCCCACTCACCAATTTTGAATGGAATCGTACCAAATCTTGTTATGGAATTTTTGTTGTAATTGAAAAAATGGCTGCTCCAAGATGGCGGACAAGATATGGTTCGATTTCATTCAAAATTGGTGAGTGGGGGTTTTTGAGGTCGGAGATCATGATTTTTTTGTTAAGATTTATAAATTCAAGATGACGGCTTCCAAATATTTTTTGTTTTTGTATAAATGACGATAACTCCGTTGTTATCAACACAAAACTATTACTGCGACAGATCATCTGTAAAAGAAAAAAAAGTTATTTGTAACTAAGTCATAGTGAGCTATGACCTACATTTGAAAAACTAAAGTTGGTGCTGATATCTCAAATTCTAGAAGAGTTGGTATAAATTTCATATTTGTTTCGAAATCACTTTGGAAAACTGCCATGAAAATGTGAAATTCCTATTTGAATATTTCCATAAATAAAGAAGTTACGGAGGAG